CTCCAATGTCAGCAAAAAAACAGAGCAGAGAAAGTGTTTCTCTGCCGGGCGGCCGGGAGCTGCTAGGTGACCCCTGGCAAATCGTCCCCTGGCAAAAGGTTGAGTACCGCTGGTTTAGTTGCTGTATAATGCAGTATACTTATTCGTTTTAACTCTCAGGCTGATAAGTGTCCATGACACTTCCTGCTCATTATGTTCTGTGCTTCTCTGCCAGCAAAAACCCAGCTCCTAATTAAAGCATATGCATTTCGCTTCTTCTTAGCTTACAATACACATCAAAAATGCATGAAAAGCTCAACTTTCATACAGCAGAAAACTGTTTTACATGCAACATGTTTGAAAATTATTAGCAGTATCTATTATCACAAAGTTTGCAGTTAATATGTCCTCATGTTTCACAGCTTTCTGAAAGCTGTTTACTAAAGTGATCTCTTTACAGTTATGTAGATCTGCTACTCAGGAGGTCAAGCAGTGTAATAACATCCTTGCAGTAATCAGCAACCCAGATTTATTACTGTACCTGTGCTTCAGTTTAAATATATGCTTTTATAAACAACATCATGCATGTTATTTTAGTTACTCTTGAAAAGACTACTCCCAGTTATGCATACAGAACAATTTGTATGCTCTTCTTGTAAAGAAATATGCCAAGGGCGTGAGCTGCCTTAGCCTAGGTCATGACCTGTTTTTCCTACTCCCATACTATGAAAAGTACATGGAGTATGAAGGGACAGTGTGGTTCCCTACTAAGCATTGATTTTCCTTACAATCTCATTGCTAAGCACCAGGGTTGTTGGGTTTTGGAAGGAAGTCAGAACTCTTAATCTGCATACATGTTCCAGGTCATTAACAAGGTATTAAAGCCATTATCACGGCATAGAACTAGTTTGGGCCATTATCACGGCATAGAACTAGCTTTTTTTTTTCTTCATAGGGTAGGTGAGCAATGCAGCTTTTATATGGTCAATATATATATGGCAAGATTCCTTTAAATATACACTAAAGACAAGCATGCAAACTCATGAGGGTGCATGTTAATTCTACACTATTAAAGTGGACCTTTACCCCTCCACTAAAAATCACAACAGCATGCAGCTCTGCGTGCTGATTTAACCCCTTCATGACCAGTGACAGAGTACATCACTGGTATCGGGCCCGTTTAAACAGACTCACCACCGGGACTCTGCTATATTTGTAAAGCCGACGGTAATCACACTGGACTGTGTGATTAACGCACAGTGCATGGGCCCTCAAAGACACTTGCATACATACACAACCACAGACATAATCTCACACACTCACAGACATTCTAACTCACACATACACACTCCCAAATTTTTTTTACTTAAAAAAAAAAAAATTAAGATCCACCCAGTCTCCCTACCTTAAAAGAATTGGAGTCGATTCTCAGCCTGGGGTCCAGTGTGGGCTGCTGTGCTGCGATGGAGCGCCATCTATATGTGCATTGCTTGTACAGCTCCCTTGATTGCCCTGTAGAGGTCCCAAGCCTTTAATAGCAATCTTTTGGGTCCTGTACATCGATGTGCTAAGCGGCTTCCCCTCTGCTTTAAAAACGCAGGCGGTCCCTTGCTCGAAACAGTGGTATTCAGCGAACGACTAGTATTTTATCAGTGAGTAAAAGGCATTCTTGATTGGACGTGGGGTGGATCGTGACGTCATCACCCTTCAAGTTATACTTGGATTTCAGCTTTAAACATGAATTCAGTTGATGCAGCTACAGAGGGATTGTAACTTTAAAACTCTATTACTGCTTGTTAAGAATATAAAGAGTTTATTGTCCATTTTCTGGGCACAGGCGCACTTCCACTAAACAAAGTGAGCCCCTGTAGTAGCCATTTCTTTATAGTATCTGCTACGCCTTATACTTTCTTTCTACCTTTCGGTACCCAAATGGAACCTGGCCTGAGCTACTTTATTGTGCAAGCAAGGTGGGTTTTTAAATCTATAGATTATTGAACTGAATGGGATGGAAGTTTGCCTAAATATTTCTAAGTGATCAAGTAAAGTGGATATCTTTTTTAATCTTCTGAAGGGAAATATCTTTGAAGGTCACACACACACAGCAAAAAAACATCCATGTAACGGCACTGTAAAGAAAACATAAAAACCTGGTGCACAGATCTAAGTGCAGTATAAAAGTAACTTTTAATACAGCGTAAAAGTAATGCACTTACAGGATATTTAATAAAATTTTGCCTGTCACACATCAGATCAAAGTCCGAGATTGTTCTCAGGCTGGGAGGCACATGCGGGGAGCAGAGTCCAGTCCAGAAAGATTCCAGATCACCTGTGCTGAAAGACACAGATCTGATCCAATGGCTGAGCAGTGCTGTAGCTGGTTCTCCTCAAGGTGGGATCACAGCGGCTGAGTACTTCCGGGTCGTCAGATGTTGCTGGGCAACGCGTTTCAGAGGTTCACCTCCTTTGTCAAGCCTTGACAAAGGAGGTGAACCTCTGAAACGTATTGGTGTGTGACAGGCTAAGGAGATCTCTGAAAAAGTATATGCAGAAATATTTTCCTTTTGTATATGGTCTATTGAATGTATTCCTCTTTATATTTATTGGTAGGATTGTGTTTTTTTTTTTAACTGTACACATTTTTTAAAATTACAGCTTTCTTTATAACAGAACAAAAACATAAGCGCACGACTGATACTTAGTCACTGGAAAAATCACGGGCTGTAAAATTATGGTGTGCAGGCTCTCACTGACAGGGAGAGGACCCTGTGAATTCGAATGGTTAACAGAAAAAAACAAAAGAGAGAGCTCTACTACCTAGAGAAAGCTTGTATTAAGTGGCATCTATTCATAAGAGAAAGAATAAATATATGTAACTTACGTTTGGAAGTCTGCAAATGTGTCAAGAATGGTGAAACAATGACCGGTATTCAGAGGGAGTCCAAAGCAGAATACTGCAGCAGTGTATGGATGAGGGGGCGCTGTGAAAGATCCTAGCGGCACGCGTGCACGGCTGGCCAGGCCGGGCCACGGCGGCTATGGAGGGAGGACCGCGGCGGTTGAGGAACCGGGACCGCGAACGGCTGTGTTCGGTACGTGTATAGTAGAGTCAGATCGGTGGGCAGAGTATCGACAGGACGTCTGAGTGGGTGGGAGCTGTGCACAGACGTGCTCGCTGTATCGTGACAGCTACGCGTTTCGAGGCACAGCCTCTTTGTCAAGCCTTAGGGCAAGGATCAAGGGCAAGGAATGTTTCACCATTCTTGACACATTTGCAGACTTCCAACCGTAAGTTACATATATTTGTTCTTTCTCTTATGAATAGATGCCACTTAATACAAGCTTTCTCTAGGTAGTAGCGCTCTCTCTTTTGTTTTTTTCTGTTTAGCTTTCTTTATAAGGAATCAGATTGCATGTAGAAACCAGCTCAATTAGAGTTGTCAGGGCATAGATATCCATCTAGCAGGCATCTACAACTGAAATCAAGACTACCATGAGAACTGCTAAAACCCAACAGATGCTAGTGTTTATGAGCTTGTATTTTCAGATGTCCTTTCTGGAGAATACTTTACAAGCAATACACCCAGTTGGCCTTACTAGGCGACCTAGTCAGCTGGTTATGTGAATTTGTGAATGTATCTTCAGTGACTCTTTCAGTGCTAGAACTGATTTATATTGCACAATGTAAGTTAGCAATTAATATTTGTAAACCAAGATTTTGGAAATCTTATTGGAGTGAGACCGTTCTCATTCTGAAAGCATTTTTAAATGGAACTAAACACTACTCTGCTCACTTATACCCATGTGTTGTTTTTTTTTAAATTTACTCATTACCTTTTTTTGTCGGGTTACTTCCAATTAACACGCTAACATGCCCAGCGAATCCAGCATTGTTCTGTTGTAATCCACTGAGACATGTCTGGTCCCGTGCCGCCATCTTTCTTTCTTTCGTCATCAGGAGCCAGCTGTCTCTTCCAAGTTCAGGCAGCCAGCAGCCTATTTGCATGTGCCAGGTTCACCCTCCTCCATCAGCAGTATGGAAGCGAATGCCTCCTGGAATATGTGACTTGCATATCCCAGGAGGCATCACCATGCTCCACATTTTTTGGAGTTGTCTGTGGCTTTTGGGATTCAGTCCAGTGGATAATTTTCAAGCTTACTCATGTGCTCTTGGGTGATAATTTGGCTTTGTTGCTCCTTCATCTGTCTCCTATCCCCAAAGAACACTACAAAGCGGTCCTATTTGATATACCTTATAAATGTGGCCAGAGCCTGTATTCTGCTGTATTGAAAGACCCACCCCCACTTAAGCTACGTTTAATAACATTACGCCTATGGAAAAGCTGATTTTGTCAGTGGATCATTGATAAGAAAAATTCCGGCGAACTTGGTTTTACTAGCTGAATTTCACATTTTCTCAAGAACAGAGTTCCCTGTTCGGTACTTAGAGAGAGGAAGGTCCAGGCATTTTTAGTATCTTGTGGACCTTCTTCTACTACTGTTGTTCTCATGATTTTCTGGTCCCTCTCTTACCTTTTCCCTCCCGTTTCTCTTTTCTACCGTTATCATTCTCCCCCATTCCCTGCTCCACCTTGTCTCTCCTTTCCTTTCTTCCATTCTTTCGTCACTTCTTTGCTGTTTGCCCCCGCAATCCATCTTGCTGTTACTTGCAGGGCTTTGCTGTGTCAGGGCTTGTTTCTAATCCCTGTTGCTCAGGGTTTGCCTTTTCAGGTTGGCATATCATGATTCCTTTTCTTTTTCTGTAATTATTCTTCTTTTTTGTAACCAATGCTTGCAACAACCTTTAGATACGACCAATGCCGCTTTCATGTTAATGCCGCAGATTTGTGGAAGGGAAACCCTTAGTATTTTACCCCCTCCTCCTGAGATTGGGGGGTTCTGAACTTGCCGTCATCTTTTGGCTGTGAACAATGCCTTGCAATTCCTTACTGCATATCTCGGTGTATTGGTTCTTATTGTATTTTTATGTTTGTATTTGTAAAAATATATTTTTGTTATAGGTGGTTATATGGCAGAAGAACAAAGTATCAGATCACAAAATGGCACTAATGTCAGTTTTGGGAACCTCAGTCATGAATAATATGGCGCCTTTTCAACACCAAGATGATGATTCAGAGGTTAGTCATTTAGATGCATGTGTATATGGCCATATTTATTGTTTTGCTTTTGTTGTTCGATATTTTTATTGAAAAGAGGGTAACAATTTAAAAAAAATGACAGTCAACAATTGTGTCATAAAAATGAAATGGTGTTTTATGAAGCCATCTGGTTTTAAATTACAGAGTGCTTCACTGGTGTTCATAGCTATAGGGCTTTATTGATATATTGATTATTTGAATTTCATAATGCTCAAGTAGAACAGAACAGAACCTATAATTGCATGCCAACCCCATTGAATGCCAACGGTACGGTATGAATGCAGGACAGTTTCAGTAGTTAATACCATATTCCTGTTGCCTTCTTTTCAGAGGTCTGTATATTTTCTTGTCTACATATCAGTGTGCTCATTGCATACTAAGCTGAAGGTTAACGCTTTTAGCTTTGCCTTCACTATCAAGCATTTTTGCATAACTTTCTTCTTATTGTACGAGCATTGAGAAAGGTAATTGTTGAAAGAAGTGTCTTCCTGGAGTACTCCTTGCCAAGCAGTCATTGGAAATCTAGTGTGAAATTGCATTTGCAATTCTTTGCCTTCCCCCCTTGACATCAAACAGCCTTTGCAAGTAAAACATCCCCACCATGTTTTTTTTTTTTTTGTTTTTTTTTTACTGAGCATGTGTGCCAAAGGTACAGTTGACCTTTAATCCTAGTCACTAGCTGACAGATGGTTACATAGTTACAACCTACTTACCCTTCCCACGCTTGTGAATAAACCTCTTTAACTATTGGCACTCACCATTTTTTTTGTTGATTTCCCAAGGTTTTCACCAAATTTATAACTAATAAAAATGATGCATAAAGCATACAGAACACATAGCTGAATATTGTTTTGCAGTCTGTTTGTAATGTTAGCTGAATATTGTTTTGCAGTCTGTTTGTAATGTTGCATGTAGAGCAAATTTATTACACAGGAATTAAAATGTATCTAAACCCAAAAACAAAAATATAATATATCACTTGCAAATACTCGGTATCGCGGCCGATACCGATGCTTGTATCGGTATCGGTGCATCCCTAATCACTGCTTACCAGATCTTAGATGTGGTGGCTGCATTTTTCCTCTCTTTTAGACTAAGAACATTTTTTTAGTACAGAAAAAAAAAAGTACAGAAAATACATTTTAGGGGGGAAAAAAAGCGTTTCCACTTGATTAAATGTGATAAGCAAAATATATAGTGACACACTTTAAATATTGTGAAGTAATCTGAAAATGATAAAATCATTTAACAAAAAAACATGTTTCTTCATACAAAGGGAAGTGTGTTTCCTTCAGATACTCCAATTTCCTCCCACACTCCAAAGACATGCTCGTAGGTTAATTGGCTCCTGTTTAAATTGGCCCCCATATGTATGCATGTTAGATAGGGACCTTAGATTGTAAGCTCTTTGAGGGCAGGGACTAATGTGAATGTGCAGTGTAAAGCACTGCGTAAATTGTCGGCGCTATATAAACACCAATAATAATAATCAATTGTGTGATCACCATCCTCCACCACAAGGTAAGCAAAACTCACCACACAATAGGATCCTTTTTTTTTTTACAGAATGTCAAACATTCACAGGGGTTAATAATGGCAGGCACCAAATCAGTATGACAACTTAGGTTCTTCTCCAGACATCAGTGCAGCATGATGCTTTATATGGAATGTTTGAAAGTGTTTCCTTCTACATGAAGAAATATCACTCTGTGTTTTATCGCTTTCAGATTACTTCACACTATTTAAAGTGTGTTATCCCTTATTAATGCATATCACATTTTAATAGGTAGAAATGTGTGTGTGTGGTCTTACTTACCTCGCCGAGCGTCGCTGCTGCTGCGGTGTGCGGCGCTCCGAGCGGGGTCATCTGGCAGTCTCCGGCCACCTAAATTAGGACCCGGAGACTGCCAGAAATAAGAAAACCGAGAAACCGAAAATAAAGAAAAAATGTCCAGCTGAAACCGAAAAAATAAAAATTCTAACGTTTTAATTTTTTTTATAAACTTTGAATTGGTTTATATTTTATTTTTATTTAATATGATTTTTTTTACTGTACTGCTGGGGGCTTCAGGGAAATATCATAGGTCTAAACAGACCCCTGATATTTCTCTTTTAAAACAGAAAAAGAGATTGAGGTATACTCTATACTGAGCCTTCCGGTTCATTTATAACTTGTGGAGATAGTATGTTTACCATGTTTACAATCAAGAATGAAGACGAAGTGATGTAGATCACTTCCCATTCATTCATAATTGGGGACACAGTAAACATACTATGCCATCAATTATTTACAAACACTCAGCGATCACTGATCGCTGAGTGCTTGTACCCGCTTTCCATCCTAACTCGCTGTCACAGGAGGCTGATCGAGCGGTGCGGAGAGCTCTGTCTCCTGTATAGCAATAGGTAGGGAGGTGCGAGGTAAGTGGGTGGCACCACACCCCTATAACTGATAAAGACAAGCAAGGATTGGCTGCAAATGAGCCTGGGGTTTTTTCAAGATGCCACAAAATACATACAGATACAGGTGTGAAGTATAACTATAAAACCTTCTTTCTTTCTTATAGCTAAAAACATATTAAGACACATAAAAAGGCCATGTCAAATAGTCAATACACAGTAGATATGGGATGAGCAACCATATACATATCGCTCTTCTGATCTGTCACAGGAGGCTGGGCGGTGCAAGAGGAGAGCTAGCCTCCTGTGACATGCTCAAAGCTGCCATCGCCCACACACCGCTCTCCTGATTTGTCACAGAAGGCTTAGGAGGTGATGGAGGAGAGCCCAGCCTCTTGTGACATGCCAGCCGCTCACATCGCTTTCCTCCCCCACACCGCTCAGCCTCCTGTGACAGTTTCTCTCCTCCCTGCTGGATGCTGCGCTGTGTCAGAGGGGACACAGAGCAGCACCCAGCGGGGAGGAGAGAAACGAGGCATGCACCGCAATTACAACAAAGTATTTTTTTTTCTGAAATGTTGATATTTACACTGAATGTCACTGTGAATAAGGGTTTCTGGTCTACACCGCGTTTTGTCACATTTACTCAAGTATAGAAAATACCTGTCGATCTTGCCAGAAACTCACTAGTCCCTTCAATTCACCATGCAATAGAGATAAACAAAGGCAGACATGTTTAAAGTCCAGCCTGTGTGACAACTATGCCTGCCCCCAAAGATACAATGTTAAACAAAATGTAGCCATAAAGGGACAGGAAGTGCATTATTTACAGGACTACCAGGTGAAAATAAAGGAACAAAGTAAGCAGATGTAGCCACTACATCTAAGAACTGGTAAGCTGCAATTAAAAAAAAAAATTGGGGGGGGGGTTTGATACTCTTCAAGCAAAAATCTGGTCATAGACCAGTACATATCCTGCTACAAATAATGGATATTGAGACATTTGTTTGTCCTGGCTGTAGTGTGCAAATTGAGCAATACACAAAAACAGCAAATACATGGTTAAACACTAAATTACTATTTTGGAAATGGAAAAAGCAAAGAAAAGCCCATTGCATTAAGTTGTAAAATATCTGTATGCAATAACAAAAATGGCTATTGGTCAGAAGCCTTCATTTTTGCCCCCTAGGTAAGCCTTACACTTACCTTGCCCACTCACCCCATTGGGCCATCAGATAGGTGCAGAACTGGATTGTGTTTGGTGAGCAGAATATATTTTTCTTTTTTTATTTGAGTAGATCAGAATTCATGGATTTCTTCCAAAGCGAGAAGCAAACAATTTAACCAGTGCTTCAAGTTCAGAAAGGAGTTTTATTTTCATCAACCAACGACCAGTTCATTACAAAGAAATATTGAAGGTAACTATAGGCAATACTTGTTTTTCTTTTCTTTTCTTTTTATAGTCTTGTGTTTTTCATGTACACGTTTTTCATTGTTTTAATATGCTACTTTATTTATTACAGGCATTTAAATAGTGCGGGCAATTTTATGCAGCGCTTTACACTATATAAAGTGCTGCATAAAATTGTCAGCGCTATATAAATACATTCACATCAGTCCCTGCCCTCAAGGAGCTTTCAATCTAAGATCCCCATCACACATACGAGGGGCGATTTAGACAGGAGCCAATTAACCTACCAGCATGTCTTTGGTAGGAAACCCACGCAAGCACAGGGAGGACATGCAAACTCCTTGCAGATAGTGACCTGCCTGGGATTCGAACCAGGGACCCCCAGTGCTGCAAGGCAGAAGTGCTAACCACTACACCACTGTCCTATTTTTTTTATTGACTATGATGTCAAAGGGTTAAATAATAAATTGCACGTGCTTAACCCAGAAAAACTAAACAAAAGTGCAATACAGGAAAAGCAAGAACTGCACTTGCTGCTAACCCTAGCTAAAATCTAAACAAATTTACACAAAATCTAATGTGGCCCTTTTTCATAGAACTTCATACTTGCTGTTTGGAACAATCAGAAACCATTGCTACCTACACACTGCTTTTAAGTAAGGATGTTCAGATACCAAGTACTAAAAGTACTGTGCTTGGTACAAGTACAGATACTTTTCCAGCTCCAAGACTAGACAAGAGAAAAATGCAAAAGTTAGGGGGCAGCTGTCATTTTTAACAAGCATACGGGGCTCCTGGGATTTGTCCATCCCATCAGGCACTTCACAGTAGTAAGTAGGCAGATCTGCCCGGATCGACCACAACTTTCAGTCCAATCGGGTCCCGCAACAGCTCAAACAGAAATCATCATATCTCCATAGTGCAGTATGTTGACAAACAACTTCTGTTTTAAAAACGGTTAAAATTGCACTTACACAACATAAGTTACAAATAGCATTGAGAAATCCAGACAGATCCTTTACGCCCCATGTACAATGGCTGACTGTTGGTATGCTCCGCCCTCCCCTTTCCCTGCAGTAATCGGGCAGACTTGCAGTCTCCCTTTTTAATTCCTAATGCAGGCTCTGGGAGAGGGGAGATGACCTGCAGAGAGAAAGACTTTAGATAACACAAAACTTTATCACGCGGATAGCATTGAGATATATTCATCCTGAGTTTTAAAGTGCAGCCATCTCGCCCAGGTCGTGTAAAAAGTGCTATATGTGTCCTTACTAGAGTGATGGAGTTCTTCCATCAGACGCAAATGATCCACCCGTGTCAACCACTCTGCCACCGTGGGTGTTTGGTTTGAGCGCCAGTGTGTGGGGATGAGAGCTTTCGCTGCATTGAGCATAAAGGGAATTACCGATCTCTTATATGAGCGCATTGAAAGGGGGTTAAGATGGAAGAGGCACAGCCAGGGGTCCAAGTGTGTAGGTATACCGCTAATGGTGGAAATGAGACGGGTGACGTATCCCCAGAACTGTTGTATCCGCGTGATATGGTCTGCTCTATGCTCACTGTATTGTATGTATGTCTTTTGTTATATTCTGAAAACCTTCAATAAACATTTTAATATGAAAAAAAAAAGATAACACAAAACTGTGTAATATAATTCATGGAAGACATTTTACAAAACAGACAGACCTATACATACTGAATAATTGGGCTACTACATGGTGAATGAGGTTCAGTTTTGGTGGGACTAGGTGAATGCATGGGGGAAGAAAAATCTCCAAGCTCACTCCCATAATGGACTGCAATCTCAATACAAATTAATAAACTAAATGTGAGATTGTAGTCTATCACAGGAGCAAGCTTGGAGCGGTGGCTACTTTACAACACACACAGGGACCATGGGGAACAAAGTAGCCACCCTCCAGAAGGAAGGACAGCGTCAGCACCAATTGAGAGATGATTTGAAGATCTACAGCCGAGAGATACACAAATAAGCTAAATTTTTTGTTCATAGTAAAGATACTTGAATGCTTTTTATGCATTTCATTTCTGGGCACCATTTTAAAAAATGCTGCATATTTCCTACAATGCCTTTGTGACTTTTCTATGTGGGGAAAACTATGTCCTTCATAGGATAGTATAACTGAAATGTTCAAGGATTACAGATACCAACTAAACACCACTGTTTGGACACCAATGCACCACTGTTGTTCATGATTATCAGGGTGTCCAGAGATTTTGAAAGTAAATATGTTAAGTAATGTATGTGTTTTAGATTTATACTTTGAATTCTATTTTGTTTAAACTATTGTTAACACATTATTTATGTTTTAACATTCCTCTTTAGATTGTTTTGTTTTAATATTCTGCTTATTAAAGTATTCTGTGGGTATGCTTTTGACTGCTTTATACTGTTATGTAACATTCAATTTGCTAATAATGACTTTTCCTGCTTTTCCCGTAACAGATGGTTGAATCCTTGTGATAAATATATTGTATGCATTTAAGGTTTTTTTTTTTTTTTTAACCTCTGGTAACATTGTTTGCTGAAGATTCTATGCAAGAAGGCACACATTTGCTTTTGGGCTAATGGATCAAGCATTGTGAATGTGTTATGTATCAAATATGTACCTTTGGTTTTAACTGCACAATGTTTGCAGCCCTTTTAGGCACTATGCTCGTTTGCACAACATAATTTATTCTCACTAGGTTTCTTTTCTTTATTATCTTTGTAGATGGTTCGATCATACTATAATCAAAATATAACATCTCATTCCTATCCTGTGTTTTTCATGAATATTGTTGTCCCAGCTTCATTTGTAGATGTCAATCTAACTCCAGATAAAACTCAAGTAATGTTACAGAATAAGGTAATGGTCTATTCTTTACTTGTGCCTGTAGCTATACTATGTAGTCTCTTTCTGTTTTTAAAGAAGCACTGCAGATCATTTACTTCAAGATGATTGTTCAGCATGAATATCTCTGATTGATGCAGAATTTTCTTTTGACAAATTTATGTACAGTTAATTTTTTTTTAGATTTAGTAGGAAAGGGAAATATCATATTTTCTGCTGTCTTTAATTCCTTTGGGGAGATATGTTCTTACTTCCTGTACTGGAAACACAACAGGAAGTAAGAGGAGATCTCTACAAAGTCAGGAAATCCGTTAACCCCATTGGAAGAATTTCCCTCACCTTATTTTGGTGTTGAATTAAAATTTTGCAGTTCCCCTTTTTGTCTCAGTGACAGTGGTCGCCAGGACAAATAAAAAGGGTGAATCTACCCAATGGGGTAAAAGACAGTTACAAAAAAAGTTGCCTTGCCATTGTTAGTTTAAAGAAAATATCCATATGACATTATCTGTCATATGAAGAAATGCGCACACTGTTGTGTCCTACCAACTCATAGCTACTTAGCTGTGTGACAGTACTTTATTTTAAAAAAACTGCAATTCGGCAGACTTTGTGCCTTTAGCATCACCTTCCTGCCTACTTATGTACAACTAGTGAACGTCACCACACTGGTTACAATCACCTTCTTTTCACATATGGTTTTCTTCACTGTCCATGCTGTTAGGTTGTGGCAGCCCAGGAAAAGTACACATTTCATGTAATCATGCTTGCTACATTAAAACATTGTCTGTGCTATCCACAACAGAACCCATTGCTTTCTTACCCATATTACTTTTACTAGATAGCTTTGGAAATATATCTGACCTAGTGGTCAACCAGTAAAAGTCACACATCAGATTGAGGAACATTTGTGTACCATATTTAGTCAACATTTATTTGAATGTAACTGTGTTTTTTTAAGAAAATACAGCTCTGTCAACTGTATGCAAGGGTTTTAGCAACCTTTATTGCAGATTTTTACACTTTTCTGTTCTGAAGAAATAGCAGCCATTTCACCATTTCCTTTTCAGATGAATTTCTGAATACGAGGTTGAGCCTTGATTATTACCACCAGAGTAAATCCCAGTGTTCTGTGAGGAAAGCTGCAGTGTGAATTAGGCAGGCCTAAGTGCCCATTCACACCAGCCCAGTCCCCTGTGTTGTTTTAAATGCAAGTATGTTAGTGTGTGTTGGGTTACAGCAGTTGATTCATTTGAATGGGCTGCCCATGCACCAAAATGGATCAAAAATCATGCATGCAACATTTTAGGCAGTGCAACGCAAGTGCTGTGGAAGTGGCAGTCAGAATGAATTGGCCTTTAAGGAGTATCTCAACAAAAATGAAATTCCTATTGTAGGGATGCCTAATATTCGGACCTTATCTCAGTGCAGATCTCTCAGAAAATCTGTGAGCCGATCATGCAAACAGGAAATTACATTTCTGAGGACATTCTTTAGGTTCCTATATTGGAAGGAAAAGCATTTGACAGTTTCAGAAATTTAGAGCAGCGGTAATTTGAAATGGAAAGGTAATTTTTAATGTTTTAATTGCTCTTTTCTATAAGCAACAAAACTGAAATTTTCCTTTGCTATGCAATGTTAAGGAGGGGTCTGGAGAGTAATGTTCTTGGCTTCTCTCTTGTATGTTAATGAGAGGGAACTCTGTGTTTCCCCAGTCTTTGCCTGGGGACAGATTAGTTTTTAAATTGTTTTTTAGTAAAGCTTGCAGTCTGCCCAAGGGGCTCTTCCAAAGAAACATCTAAAGCAGTGGTTCTCAACCTGTGGGTCGGGACCCAAAAGTGGGTCGCGACCCACAGTTTAGGGGGTCCCCACATGCCTTGTGCTGCTCCAGGTAAGAGGTTCCTCAGCCTCCTCCTAGCGCAGCAGTGTCAGTTCTCCTAGATGGTGCTGCAGCAGCAGTGGCCAGAGAGGATCAGAGAGAGGGGAGCAGGCAGAAGTGAGGGGAGGTGAGTGCTTGATCACCACAGAGCCCACACTGGACGCCTACAGAGAGTCCCACTAGCCACCTGAGAGCCCGCATTGCCTCCCGAGAGCCCACACAGATACTAGTATTGGTGCATCCCTAAATTTTACGGTTGGGGGTCACCACAACTTGGCAAATGTTACTAAGGGGTCCCGGCCCTAGAAAGGTTGAGAACCACTGATCTAAATGATAAGAAACCTAAAAAAAAAAAAACATTTTTAGGTGTGCTGTGTGAATGGGAACACGCAACAAACATATAGTGGGGGTTACTCAGATGTGACTTGTAACTTGTGAAGTGTGTTCTGTGGTAAAGGGCTTGCTGTTTACCAACGTCTAGTAAAACGTTGTGCAGCATGCATCTGTTCACCTTGCATATACTTGTCATACTCCAAAAACACTAGGCCACTGTGTGCAAGAAGAAAAACGGCTATCATTCTGGTTACATTCGTTTTTTCATTCTTCATCTCATAATACATGAAATCCCTGTCATGCTGCCACTGGCCTGCACTGTTTCATAGGTTGGTAGGCCCGAGATATAACACTGACTTTTTATGCACACTGTTTTAGTTTTGTTCCCCAGTATGTTGTGCAGTATGATGCTGTGATGAAGAAAGGTTTACATTGTTGTACCTGCAAGAATAAAAGTCATGCAATTGTGCAAAAATTATATAACTGTAAGGTACATTGACATAATCTGATCTAAGTCCATATTGGTCCTCTGTCACAGGAATCCGTGCTCACTGCTGTTGAGTTTATGCTGAAGTCTATGTATTCTGATCCAATACTCAGGGAAGTTGACAGTGTTAATGCACAGTCTTCAGAGGCTGATGTGAACAGTAAGGTTCCTGCAAAAGAAAATGATGGCAAAGATATGATTGTTGAAACTACTAAGCCTCTGGAGAAGAATGTGTTCATACATCTAAATGATAATATTGAGAAACTGGAAAGCCAGGCAGAAGTTGTTTTAACAGATCCATTAGTAGACAGTAGTGTATGGCCTAACCATGACAGGCAGTGGAATTTCACCATGGAACATGTTAAAGGTGATGAAGCTGACAGGGAACCTGAATCTAGAACTGCTGGGCAACCCTCAGAGTACAAAAACACCACTTCAAATGATATCCTGGAAACATTGGATGATAATTGGAGTAAAGGGACTGCTTTTAAAAATTCAAAAGGAGAAAACGTACAACCTGTTACTATATTATGCCCTTCACGTGAAACAAATGGCAGCAAAATGTCTGAAGAAACTAGCTTAATTAAGAGTCCTGAAAATACAGAAAATAAATCTACAAATGTAATCTACGAGAAAACTGGATTTATAACCGCTTTTGACTTGATGAATAACAGAGTTATAAAGAAACCAATGTCTGCAGTAGATATTTTCACCCAGGAATATCGAACAAAATATCTTAAAGATGCACCAAGAGTTGGATTTGATGACATTTCTTCAGAAATGTTGGATGTTTGGGAAAAACTCGATGAAGAGGAAAAACTTAAGTAAGCTCTGCTTGCATGATGTAATAAGCCTATACTTGCCCAGAAATAGTTTATACCTAAATCATGCAATAGACCATATTTGCAATTGTTTGCTGTAAAGGTAAAACTAAAATCTGTTATTTTTACCAGTGTAAAATAAATGTCAAAGTTTTGCATATACTCCCTAACTTTTTATCAACACCTAAAAGAAACACATTGTCAGTTTGGTTGTACATGCGAAAACATTTACACAGATTTCCATGGGTACTCACATGTGCATCTTTATCTAGTTAGTTAAACCCTGTATATTGTTTGTAAGTAGTAGTAGTAGTGCTTAGGAAATACTACTAAGATTAAAAAGATATTATATGGGTGGATGGCTGGTATTTTCACTGTTCTCTGTTTTCATCGAAAAAAATCTAACAATATATGGAATGATACTAGCATGCATAGGAAATCGGATTTCCTCTTGCTTGAATATGATTTTTGAGAATCCTCTCTAAAAATGTAGGCTTTCAATACCTAACCACTGACATAGCAGTACAGGATACATTAGAGATTCTTATTTGCAGAAAACATTGGACCTAAATATGGCTTTCTTGAAAGTGTAGAATAAATAAATCCATAGATATCAGAATTCAGCTTATCTGATGTACAGTACCACTATGCACAAAGCCTTGAGTTAACATGGAGCAAAGCACAGTGGTATGCAGAAAAATCTGAGCCTGTTAATGCTAAGAGGAAAGATGTCTGTGATTGATTGATCTATGATATTTTAAAACCTGCTCTTTGTACAGTGTCTAGTGTAGGTCGGAAGTCATTGAAGTTTAGGTACATAGTCAATTTATAGCCCAGAAAGGAGCTGGGAAAACTGGCTACTCTTGTCACTAGAGGTGCACCGAAATTACATTTTCTGACCAAAACGGAAAATATTTTTTTAACTTTACTGTCATTTGCTCTGGGGAAATAATCAGGGGTCTACACATTTTAATATAGAAAAAGAGACACAGTCCTCAATCCCTTTTTCTGCAGCTACTGTTATGCATGAACAGGAAGCCTCTAAACTGAGTGTTGCTGTTCATACATAACTTGTGGAGATAGTATGTTTACATCACTGATCGCTGAGTGTTTGTATTCCACTCTCCATCCTGACTCGCTGTCACAGGAGGCAGAGCCGGTAAACTCCGGCAGTGCGGGGAGGAGAGCTTGATCTCATTTGACAGCTGACTCATCCCCCACACCGACGGCTCTGCCTCCTCTGACAGCTGTCTCTGCCCCCGCACCGCCCTCTATCCTGATCTGTAATTGGAGGCTGAGCGAGGAGGTGCAGGAGGAGAGCTTGGTTCTCAGCGCTCTCCTCCCCGCCCTGCTCAGCTTCCTGACAGTTTATCATCAGACACATCTACAGCTGAGTGATACAGAAATAAAATACATTTTTGTTGATAGTTAAGGTACTTGAATGCATTTTTAAGATTTAACTCCTGAGTTTAGTGTCACTTTAACTCCAGGCTCAGCCTACCAACTCCCATTGCTCCCTTTTGGAGGATTCCTGCTCCTATGTTTTAATTTTTTTTTTATACTTACCATTTTTCCAAAGTTGTCAAGTCTGTCACATGACACGCAGTGTCCTCTTCTTTTCTTGATGATGCAAGTAGGAGCACTGGAGTGATGAGGTAAGGTTCTTCTTTTTTCTTCATTACACTGTGAGTAAAGGATGCCATGGTGGTGACTCCTCTGGAGGTGGGCCAATGGCATTGCACTCACAGCATCTCCTTAGTGTTCCAGGTCACTGAGGGCATCTTTTGCTAAAAAGTAGTATTGCGTGGGACAGCTTTGGAATAAAGATGAGTATTGCAGTCTAAGTTTTTTTGTTTTAACACCTGCTAGGGGTCTTATTTTATTTATTTTTTTAATTGCCCCAAGTTAGGTATACTTTCAATATAAGCATACTTTCTCATAGCTGTTACGAAGCTCCATATGTGCATTGCTTGTAGATCCCCCTTGCATGCCCTGTAGAGGTGCCGGGAGCCAGAACATGACGTCACTCCAGTCCAGCCACCTCTACAGGACATGTGAGGAAGCTGTAAGCAATGGATGTATGGATGGAGCTCCCTCGCAGACATAGCTCCAGCCTACCCCACCTTAAGCTGACACTCGTTACCGAGCAGCATATGAATGGCTGCTCAGCGGGAGAACTGACAGTGCTGCGCTACGGGGAGGCTAAGAAGCGCCTCACCTAGAAAAGTGGAAGGTACGCATCAACCCACTGAACACGGTGGGTCGTGCAGGCTCCAGGACTGTCGTCTTACGTTTAGCTTCTCCAGCTATTGAGTTGGTGACCTGGTGAAACCACACAAAAAGATGTTTTGAAAAAAGTTTCCAGATTCCAGTTGTCACTCATTACATAAAGAAGGCAGGATCAGGGTAACCACTCTAAATCCTACACCTCTGAAAAGAAAACTTGCAAGAAGAGAACCTATATTTCAGTCCTCACAGTTTCACTTTAATAAAGGAATTGTTCATTTAACTTTGTCATTCCTATTTGAATTTAATAAAAGTGTAAATAAAATTTAATTAATCCATGATTATAACACCGATTTACTCTAGGTTAATCACGTCATAACATTGCTTATCTGTTTTGCATGCAGGTATGAGGAAAAAGCAGCCAAGGACTTGAAGCGATACAAGCTGCAGTCTGCAAACGCTACAGAAAGAAATATGCAAAAGCCAAAAGAGACAGAAAAAAGACTGAGGCTGGTGTCAGGAGAAAGCGCTGCTCAAAAAATAAAACAGAAAACGGCACTCTCCAATCAACAAATCCTGGATACTATGTTTCAGTCACAAGTTCAAAAGAAAGCATCTACACCCGCTGTTAAAACTACCCAAATAGCGTTTAGCCTCAATGACCTAAAGCAGAAGCATTGCAGGCTTCCAGTGAAAGATATGCAGGATGCAGAATTTAGTTTAATAAGTAAATTGAATTTTCCCGGTGCTTGGGTTTTAGCATCTAAGAAAGCAATAACCTTGTTAAATCCGTACAGAATGGAAGAAGTGTTGTTGTGTAAACGACTCATGGGCAATCACATCATTCCTGCAGAGACTTTGGACTCACCAATTGTGATAAGACATAGGTAAATTGCAAAGTTAAGTGTGATTGATGATCTATATGAATGCTACAAGTAGCAAATCTTATAGCTAGAATACAAGTTGAATTTGAAACATGTCTTGTCTTAATATTTTATTTTTCTTTCATTTTATTATTTTTATTTTGTTCTTTACATGCTATTTTACTGACACTAAGAATTAAAAGCATTAAAATTCTTCATAAATTTCCCTAGGCTTATTTCACATAGGCTTCCTCTTATAAATGCTAGTCCGAAAAGAATTTCTAGAGCATTCAACTAGCTTCGAGCATATTTTTATAACCGTTAAAAAGCAAATATTTAAAGAACTCCCTTTTATGCATTCATTAAAATTCATAACCTGTTGTAAATAAGGATAGTATAAATGCCTTTCTTTATGTCAGCCTTCTGTAATTCCCTTTACTGTAGTTAGGAAAAGAAGGGGCAGCACTCTTAGCCAGTAAGTGTTCTATTGCTTTGCACTGTCAGACTAGCACTGGGAACATGCATACTGGAGGAGAAATCTCTGGGATTTGCTTGTTAATGTACTGCTGCTCCTTCAGACACCTAAGCAGAGTAGGGGTGGAGAAGTGTCTCAGAAAGCAGATTTTTAAGGAGCATACGGAGCTCCTGGGATTTGTGCATCCCTGTTTTTATAAATATATATAAGTGATGCACCGATACCATTTTTTCAAGTACAGGTACTGATACTTGTCCACGTACTCACAGATACAAGTACAAGTAGATTTTTGTTTATTGCCATGTGACAGTTTTTCTAAAACAATATCGAATAATGATTTCAAGACAGTGGTGGAGCACCAGAGCTAGGTCCCAGCTACAAAAAGCTGCAACCCTGGTAGTTCTCACTAGAAATGCCAAGTATCGGCACTGGTATCTAAACATCCCTACAACGGACTTCTCTTAGCTGCTCCATTTTTGTCTGTTTCATTTAACATTGGAAGTATGTTGTTATATCTGTTTGATTAGAGCTAAAAAAAAAAAACTTTTGATTTTGTCAGAAGCACAGAGCTGTCATGTGTCCTCTCCACACTTCTTGTCTTATTTCATTGTCTAGTTAACCTTCTTCGTTCTTATCTTGGACTACGGAATTATTAACCTTTACGTTACAGAAATCTGAGAATGGGAGTGGTTGAGCAGTTTAGCAAAAAAACTAAGCAGAGCTGACACCACTCAGGCCACAAAATCTGGAAGGGCTTAACAACCCATCTATCACTAAAATATAATGTCAGTGTAGTGGGTATTTTGCTGCCTTACAATGTTTGTGTTCAGTGTCTGATTTTTGGTGCAAATGACAACCGTATCCTGTGTGTGGATATAATATATTATATACGTACATAAACATACTCATTTAATACATAACATTGATATTGATGTTAAAAATATTACATTTGATTTTCTTTTTTTTCTCTTTTTTCCTTTTCTACTTAGGTTGCTTGGAGAAACGGATTACCTCTCAATTCTTTTAGGAATGCAAAAGGACAATCCAAAACCAAATGGACATATTTATTTTTCAGACCCTAGACTAACTGCTAATGGGTTTGTAATTAAAATGATACCAGGTATGCCTTTAGCAATCTACTATCTATGCTGCCTATAGATTTTAGGAGGTGGTCAGACATGACTGCCTAATCCAGTAATTATAAGCTCCTTTTTAATTTACAGTTTTAATGGTAACGGTATGGTTGGATCACCCAGGCAAGTGGCCTAATACTTAGAGAGCAGGGAGAGTAGCTGCATGCCGCTGCGTAAACTAATGCTATGAGAATGATTTGTCAGGGTTGTCTGCTGATACAGTCTCTACAGTGCACTGCGCTCCCTCCCCAAAATACAATAAAACCCAATAATATGCAAAATGTGCCAAGATACAATAAATACAACAAAAAACATTCACCATATAAGAATATTAACTAATTAGAGTCCAAAGTCCCAAATGACAATATACAGGTGAAACTCGAATACTTAGAATATCGTGCAAAAGTAATTGCAGTAAGTGCTGCAAAAGGGGCCCAAACCAAGTACTGAGTACATATGCATGCTTGTACTTTTCAGAGGTCCGATATTGTTCTATGTACAATCCTTGTTTTATTGATTGCATGTAATAATCTACTTTTTTGAGGTTGTGGATTTGGGGTTCTTGGGGTTTTCATGAGCTTTAAGCCATAATCATCACAATTATGACAAATCACGGCTTGAATTATCTTGCTTTGCATGTAATGAGTCTATCTCATATATTAGTTTCACCTTTTAAGTTGCATTAGTGAAATAAATGAACTTTGCACGATATTCTAATTATTTGAGTTTCACCTGTATATTAGTTTCACCTTTTAAGTTGCATTAGTGAAATAAATGAACTTTGCACGATATTCTAATTATTTGAGTTTCACCTGTATATTAGTTTCACCTTTTAAGTTGCATTAGTGAAATAAATGAACTTTGCACGATATTCTAATTATTTGAGTTTCACCTGTATATTAGTTTCACCTTTTAAGTTGCATTAGTGAAATAAATGAACTTTGCACGATATTCTAATTATTCAAGTTTCACCTGTAGTGTATAGAGCTCAAAAGTCTTTAAAACTTCACCATAAATGCTTATTGCAATGTGTTCCCCAATCCGTGTTCAAAATATATCATTAGGAGAGCCATAAAAAATAAAAAGTCCATTGTGCTCGCATTGTTACACAATTTTGATACTGCGCAAAAAGTATCCTTCACCTCTCTCCACATGTTTATTAGGTGTTCCTATTCACACAGCATACTTTAATTTTTTTAAATGAAATATTTCTTTCCTTTTTAGATGTTTCTGTTGAGTAGGGATGAGCTCCTCTGAACAAAGAGTGACACGGCACTTCCACCCAATCAGTCATTTTCCACGCCGCAGCTGCATGTCAACAAAGGGGCAAAATGCTTGTACTGATGTAGTTTACTTTATGTGGCCATATTTACCAAATATAGGCATGTAGCCATATACGTTCAGTGACATTACTGGATTCTTCCCCTTTGCTTATATCAAGCGTCAGGTGGGCATTCCCCACCCACAGCTGATTGGGTGGTACAGAAGGAGCTTCCTTCTATGTTGGAACCCTACTCAGGAGCAGGCCTTTGGACATACTGCAATTTTCTCTGTGCAATTTAAAAGCGACAAAAATATCTGGCTGTCCCATAGAAAGACTAGGGGCACGTTGAGCTTCCTTTTATTAACATGCAACACTATGTTAGTACAGACATTGATCAAATCTAGTTGACAATTGATGAAGAAGATCTGCCGGCACAGTGCAAACAGGATTAATTGTGGTAAACATTAACCTCCCCACATTTTGCCGTAGTAGAAATATATACTTTAAACCGTATCTAAACCCAAAACTGAATATATTGCAGTTTACCAATGATATTAAAGGCAAAAGGTTAAGTTATTTCACATGCTGTTTAAATCACTTACAATAAATGCTGCTCCTTGATGTATCAAAGTTTTAGCATTCTGTAGAATCAGCTGGTCCCCTGAGCACTGATCCTGATATCCTGTTTTAGGGTTTCTCCTTGGGGCTCATTCGCACGGACATAGAAGGAAAGCGCATTGTAGACGTGTATATGCTTACAATTGGTCCATATGGGTTTTTATGTGTACAATCTTTTCTAGCACTGCAATCCCTAAGCACCAGAAACTTCATATACGTACTGTATATGTGCTTATCGTACACGTAGATCTGTTCCATTCCAAACGCAAAAAAAAGAAAGCTGTGTGTATCTCCATAAGCATACCGGCACAGCGTGGCAATCCACTCCCTTCCTCCCTGCTCGCCTCTCTTCCTCCCTCTCTTGTCCAGTCCAGATTAGTAAATGGACAGCTGATGGAGACTGTGTTTTCTCTTGTGATCTTGTACTGTACAGGAGGTTCAGGGAAGCTGAGCTGAGAGAGTTGGTGCTGTTCAGAAACATGAGCACTGTATGTGCTTGGACAAAAAAGTAAAGAAGTACTTTGCTGGACAACAGATACTTATTTGATCTGGATTAATTATTGAAATACGTTTTAGAGTTTAATACTACTTTACATTTGGTGGCTGCATTGTCTGTTTTTTTTTCTCCAGCCAGTAATGTACATTCTATCCTAGGGTGGCTTATATGCAGATATCGGTAATAGTTTACAAAGCGCACTGATAGGATTTTTGTTTTGTATTAGTTTAGAACAGAACAATGAGAGATAATTGGAATGGGCTTTTGTGTACTTTCTAGAGCCTGTATAGTAGTAATGAAATGCAGTATGAATATTATCTGACTACTCTGACTGTACTACATTTGTCAAAAACATCTATATAATGCAATGCTTTGTTAAGGAGTCAAAGATCAAAAATAATTAACTAATATATAAAAATTATTTGTTTAGGTTCTCCAGATAGCCATGTGGAGATTGAAGGGATGGCCAGCGTTTTGCCTTTTTACGGGATATCTGATCTAAAGGAAATCTTAAACTTTGTGATGAATAAAAATGCAAGAGATCTGTGTGACTGTAGACCCCTTAAAGTTTTAAATTATTTGGAGGTGAGAATTGTGGTAGCCAATGTTTTGGTTATTTCTTTGTCCCCGGGCATCTATGGTATCATATTCTATGCCATATATCAAATCATCTGCAGGGATTTAATCTTTCCCCCCACATGCGTTGTAGCTCTTCCTCATTATGTTGCTATTTATACTTTCCTGCTACCTTGACGTTTTTGGGCCTGTAAACAGGAAAAAAAAATGGGTGGTCACATGACCATCCATGTTTCCTTTTCCACATGCTGAGAGTTGGCAAGTAAGGGAAGTAAAATAGAGCTAGCGGGTAACTTTGTGACATGGGCCGCCAATCTGAGAGTATGTGACCCACTAGTCTGTTGGGTTTTGTGAATAGTGGTGGGTATGCAGTGTAAGTGCTCACAGATGGTGCTTGCATAGTGTTGTGTATGGTACAAGGAGTTGTCTGGCTTGCACACATCACTGCAGTGTTTGTGTTCATTCCATGTCAGTCATTCTCGGGCCATTGTCAATAATCTTCTAATATAAGTTACTAATATGCACTCTTCCACTTGCATCATTTATGGGGAGCGCTGCAGATGTGCTTATGATACTCGCTTTTGTTCAGGCCGACTATGACAGGCAGTCTATTACTGACAGTTGCTGACAGTCGTTTTGTGTAACACTGAGGCCAGAAATGTGCCTACTGCAGTACACAATAATAAAATCTACACAACATGAAGGAGAAGGGAAAAAGTTAAATCGCACCAGACGCAGGTTTGGATGGGACATAAATAGGTGAGGATGCCAGGGGGGGATTGATTTAACACTGAGGCCCCGTTCACACCTTTCCGTTTTGTCGGGCGTTCAACGCTCTATGAACGCTCTACAAAACGTACAACCATGAAAATCCCATTGTTTTCTATGGGTATGGTTCACACCTTTCCGTATTTCCGCCCGTCTGAACGCCCTACAAAACGGCTGACGGCCAAACAAGTACATGTACTTCTTTGGGCCGTTTTGGAGGGCGTTTTCCATTGGGATACAGCCAAGTAGCCTTCGGAATCGCGCGACGGTCGCGCGATTTTTTTACCGCGAATCGCGGTAAAAAAACGCGTGACGGTCGCGCCACAAACGTGCATGCGTAATACGCCTAGGTGTGAACCCAGCCTAAACCTTTTGCAATTTTTACAGGTTCAACACTCTACTTAAAGCACAGGTCAGACTTCTGCAGGATTCTCAGTTTAGCTAGTTTTGAGTGCAGCGCGCATTAACAGGTTAACTAATGTCAGGAGGTATTACAATTTAAGGGCCACTTTTTTACCTTAAATTAAATAGCTTTATACAAGGAAGTTAAAGGAAAATTAAATCAAGAGAAACTTTTACCTTTCCAAATTCAAGCTCCGCTGCTCAGGTTTGCATCGGGTGCTGGACAGGAGCCATCCACACTCCAAAAGTGAATCAATCCAAAGATGATCACCAACCTCTAAGGGTGGGTGATCATCAGGCAGGGATTATATTGTGCTTTTGGCTGGATTCTCACAATAGATGTGTGTTTTGGTGCAGATTGGCGGTTTGCGGCTAACCTTGGATTTTTGCAAGGTAAGTCTGTGAAAGTGCAAAACTTTCTTGAAGCAGGTCGGATCAGGTCAAAAGGAGGTTAACTGCAGATCAAATGCACCTTTCATTGAGTATCCCAAACTGATGCCATAGACACAAGCCCAAAACCCATAAAGACAGGCCCTAATACTAGATATATTTTCTGATGATATTGTAATTGTTTTTTTACACCTTCGCTGGCATGGTAAAGGTGGTTATAGGCCCAAGGTGGTTGTTTCTTTAACCCTTTATATCCAGGAAATAAGTGTCACCTGTCCAAGCTGTGTGGCAGATGTGTGTAACTCATAGGATTGACTGTATGAAATTACAACTTATTTCCACTGTAAACTTACAGTATATTTATTATGACTCTGTCACTAATACAAGGTGATTGCTATTCAGCTCTCCTGCTGCCTATACCACTGATGTTTGTTATATTGCTGAGACAACATCAAAAGATTCTTCAGAAACCCACACTTTCAAGTGTTGATCTCCTTGTTCCCAACCGCATGTTGTAGTTTGTCCCACCAATCCCTATGTCACTGCTGTGCTCTGTACTTTTGTAAGGTTCGGGAGTGACGAATCACAGTACATGGGACCAGGAGATCAACACTACTGTAAGTGTCTTTTTCTGAAGCATCTTCATGAAGAATCTTTCAGGGAAACCGGTCAGAGAAGATCACGGCAGACCCCTCACATCCTAAATTTATCTGTCCAACTGCTCCCCACTTGTAAGCATTACAGATCACTGTATGGACAAGACAACCAAACTTAAAATAGTTTCTTCCCCAAGCTTTCACACTCATGAACACTTGAATCCTGCACTATTTGTACTACATCAGCTTTTAGATGTTTACAGATCTCACAGTGATACATTGTCTGTATAGACTTGCATATTGCATTGTTGTTTCAATATATGTGTATGTATAAAAGTCTCAGAGTCCTAGGCAGCCACACAAAGATGATATTACTGTGTAAAATCAACTTTATTGAAACTCGGCATGTCCACACAGTCCCAACTCCAGTCTGTTCCTCTCTAACACATTTTATGCTTCTCTCTGATTAAGCCTCTGTAGGGTGAAGCTCATTGGAGAGGGACGGAGTGGAGACAGGACTGTGTGGAACATGGTGAATTTCAGTGACATTTATTTAACATAGTGACGTCATCATTTTGTGGCTACCTGGGACTCTGAGACTTTTTTTACTCTGGGGTGTGGGAGGCCATTATTCCCTTTGTGGCCCAACGGCTGGATACCGGGACGGGGCCATGTTACTTAGGGGCTTGTGTGTGTGCACACTTACACATAAATGCTTAGACAAATTCCTTGTATGCCTGTACATACATTGCTAATCAAGCTGATTCTGATTTTGATTCTGCAATAATTCAGTGGTTGGCAGCGGCGGTATCAGGAGAGGTAATTGTTAGATGTCTTTTTTACAGGGGGAACAACGTTTTACTGTTGTTATTGACACAGCCACTTTAAACTGTGTATTTATCTATTTCCTAGACGTTTTCCAACATATGTATGATCAATTGTTTGAGTTTTGTTTTTTCTCATGAAACCTATAAATGTGTCTTTATTGGCAGGCTGAAGCTGTAAGACTGACAAGACAACTACCTTTAACACTAGCAAAAGACGATGTACAGAACACTTTGAGTCGAATGAAAAAACAGCTTGGAGATCAAACTAAAGGATGCATCCATGGTCGGCCTTTTTATTATCACCTAGCTGATATTCCTCAAGATGATGATTAGAAATAAAAGGACTCCTATTGTATAGATCCAAATCTGTCAATAACATGTACAGGGGAATGCATATATTTGTAAATCTTTCAATGATAAAAGTTGTAAAATCATTGGGTGATGGATTGTGTTTCCACAAAAATATACATACTTGCTCATGTGTAATGAAAACAAAGACAAAATATGCTATTTTTGTTATTTTCCTATCATATTCCAGTATTTTCATAGTGATCTATAAGATCCTTAAGACATCTGATTAAATTAACAGTGACATAGACTTTTGAACAAAAATTGATTTTATTAGTTAAATCAGTACATTGATTATTTACATTGCCGAATTACACAATCAGAAGTTACTGTATTTAATGTTAATTAAAAAAAGTTAAATATTACTTCAAAACAGTTTTTCAGAATGTGCCTTTCCTGGTAATAGGATGGAGGTGCTTCTTCTTATATCTCCTGTTCTTTCCTCCCAAGGTGTGTCAAAGTATCGCAACAAGATCACTCCTGTTGCACTGGAATCTGAGTTAGACCATTGTCAAAAATGTATTTTTATTCATAACTTTCAGGTGACAGTACCAGATAATGTGTATTGAACTTACCATCCTTTGTCAAAGCATCCTAATCAGGTTGAATTATAGTCAGTAATCTGACTTATAGGATCATCTTGAAACAGAGATGTCAACTTTGGCTCTATAGTCCATTTTTGAGGAGAGTACTGCATTAAGGAAAGCTGTAAATTCCCTAAAATGCCAGTAAGAGAATTTACAGGAAAAGAATATATAGGAAAATGTATAGTGGGCCTTGAATTAAAAGGCAAGTTCCATTCATTACATCAGATCTGTCTCACATCAAATTACCCTGAGATGTCCATAAAATGAAATAAAAAATCTGTCTAAAAAATGTTAGAGCATATACAGTACTTCACCTAGCTTCTGCGCAGGAGAGGATGATATCGCAATCCTTCTGGCAAGATCTTAGGAATACTGAGTATCTTAAATCTTGTGAAGGGAAGCTCAAGCACAATTCTGGGACATCTTGATTATTTATTACAAATATTTTTTTTTTAGCTCAGACAATATACACAGTACTTTACAAACTGTACATTCACATCAGTCTGTGCCCTTAAGGTGCTTACAGTCTAAGGTTCTTATCTCACATGTATACATACACACACGGGCCAATTTAGACAGGAGCCAATTAACCTACCAGCTTTTATTTGGAGTGTGGGAGGAAACGGGAGCTCCCGGAGGAAACCCACAAAAGCAAAGGAAACATACAAGCTCCATGCAGATAGTGTCCTGGCCGGGATTTAAATCAGGGACCGCAGTGCTGCAAGCACTGAAGTGCTAACTACTGAGTCACTGTGCTGCCCATCACCATTTGAGCTAATCGTTGCCAGGAACATGAGGTCACCCATGCTTAGGCGGAAGCCAGGAGTAAGGTAAGAATGCTTTCTAACTGCTTTGCTGGCATGTCCTTTTTTTACTGCCATCATGGCAATTTATTATGAGGAAGGGGAAGCCTGATGATAACAAGTATCACTAATGAGCTTGATTATATCGATCTTCATACAGAGCTGGCTGCTGTGGTGCCCAAAGAAATATGGCAAAGAGAAAAAGTATATGGAGCCCTAGACCCATTGGTCCAGAACTGTCCAGAACTGTGATACAATGTAGATGTCACATGGCATCATAAGATTGCCTTTTTTAAATTTGATGGCTTTTATTGTATTCAAGCCC